ACTCTTCTTGTTAACAGACGCAAATTCGTCCTTTTTGCAATCGACTTCATGATACGCTCCTGGAAAATCCCCCAGCAAAGATCTGGAATAGCGATGGAACCAAGGTTGGTTTTAAAAGAAAAATCTACAAAATTGTGTTTTTTAAATTTGCAATTCTAGGAAACTGTGCTATTCGATAGCGCTGTATACACAAAAAATCGCAATTTTCGATTGTATCTATCCTCAAAGCTCGGCAAAGATACTGTATTGAAGTTGGCCGACTACTGTAAATTTTATGGTAGGTAGTTCTAACCTCACTTCTTCTTTTTTTTTTGATTTCAGGGTAAGCGTTAAACTTCCTTTTTTTAGGGTCAAAGAACCCATCTGACAAAGAAATCTTTTTCGACTCTATCTGCGTCCCAGCAAATGCATGTAAATTTCCTATACTAAAAGTTCCAGACATAAGTGAAGGTCATGTTGGAAAAATCTGCAGTACTCGAGGTAAAATTTTACAAGTAGTAACTATCTTCATACTGTTAACTTTTCTTTTTGTTTCAGTTTTAAATGCAGCAAAAGTGCAGGAAGGTTCTGGACCTTCACCCTATCCTCATCTTGATGAATTCATGCTTATGGTGTGGAGGAAGTGGAGTCAAAGTGTCTACATACGTCAGTGGAGGATTACTGAGAATGAAAAAGGTGCCATCACAAGCATCACTTACTATGTGAGTAACCACAGTAATTATAAGGGTTAAGACTAATCGAGATCATTTCAAATATCAACATTTTTTAATTTGCAATGCTTACCAATGGTTGATCTCTTCAAAAAGTAGCCTTCCTTGAGTTACCATTCTACAGTGTGAATAGCCATTACCTGTACTCAGGTCAAGTTAATGTAATTGCTTTTTCCACTATATAATATATCACTGATTTCCACAAAAAAGCTAAGTGGAGCATGCACAGAGTATTGTTGCACCGATCAAAAGCAAAATGCAGACTTTTCATCAATGTGACAGAGCTACTTCATAGTACCTAGGAGATGCTTGACTTTTTTGATTTGATGCGTACTGTGTAGTTGTACCATATGCACGGTCACACATTCAAGTAAGTAGTGTCGATTACATGTATACTCGCTCTTGCAGTTTGTGTCTTTATTGTCTTCGAATTTAGTTAAACTATATAATTATTATATTATGGATTTTCTGCTTAAGAAAATTTCGTAATATGATAAAGAAATGGCAAAAGAATTT